AAAACGACTTTACCCTTTTTCGAATGTTGAACAACCGAATTGAAGGGCTTTTCGGATGTTCAATATCCGAAAATAGGCCGAAAGTTTAACGTTCACATTCCCATTTTCAGGTGTTGAACATCTGAATTGAAGGGTTATGTCGATACATTGTTTTCCTTATGAAAATGGTTTCGAATATTGGATATCTGAAAATATCATGTTTTCGGATGTTGAAAATAATTTCTGAAAATATGAAAATATTTTCATATTTTTTGAAAATATGATATTTTCGGATGTTGAACATCCGAAAATGGTTTTGGATGTTGAACATCCGAAAATGGTTTCGGATGTTCATCATCCGAAAATGATTACGAAATTCCATAGACTTTCTGGAAATTCAAAGTCATATTTTCGGATGTTGACATTTTCGAATGTCCAATATCTAAAACCATTTTCGGATATTCACCATCCGAAAAACCTTTCAATTCGGATGTTCAACACCCGAAAATGAGAATGTGAGTATTAAACTTTTGGCCTATTTTCAGATGTTAAACATCCAAAAAACCATCCAATTCGGTTATTCAATATCCAGAAAAAGGTAAAGCCATCTTTTTTAAAAAAATGCATTATAAAAGGTAAAAAACGGACATACATGTAATAACATAAACTACTTGGTACATTCGTAATAACGCAAAGTATAACGGATATGTATATAATTTTATGCAAAATATTCTCAGGATTATCTCAAAATCTATTTTCATATCTAACTATAAATTTTTAAACTACAAAAATGGTTAAAATCAAGTAGATCTAAAAATATATGACAATTTTGAAAAGGATGGTCTAGATAATGTGATGTAAGATGTACTATGTATGGGACTCAAACTCCATTTTTCTTTCATAATCATACATCTCGATGTTGAGATTTCAAAGATAATTAATGGAGAGAGAGAGAGAGTAATCAAGAACGAGAATGGCATAGGGCTTTGGCGGTAGTATTGTTATGCCCCATGATGAGGTCTCTGACTCCATTCTCACAAAAAGGTAGGAGCCCAATTCCCTACTGACTTACCACTTTTTGATAAAACCATTTTTTGAGAAAACCATGGAACTTAAGTCTGCATTTTTTAAGGGATAATAATAGGTTGGATTCTTAAGGTTCAATAACGCCAAGAATCCATGACGATCAACAAGGTACGGTTGGCGTAGCGTCCAATTGAAGAATCATCTTTGGCATCAAGTTCTATAGTCAAAGTATGGGATGGATATGTATAACATGTGGCTTGGGGGTGGTAAAGGGAAGGAGGTGTCTTGTATGTGGCGGGCCATTTCAAATTGTAGGGCGATGATCTCAAGCTATTTTAGATGGAATATAGGTTGTGATAGTCAGATTTTGTTTTGGCACCATAAATGGCATGGGGATTATCCTTTGAAATCTGTTTTCCCTGATCTATTTCAAGTTGTTTCTAGCCCAAATCTAAAAATTTGTGAGGCAGTTGAGATGAGAGGTCAACGGTTTTCGTGGGACATACCCCTTATGTATATGCGATTGAATAATGTGTTGTTGTTCCAATGGTGCTCATTGATGGAACTTCTGGATATAGTTTATATTCTCAAAAAGCAGAAGATATTTTAGTATAAGAAATTGAAAGTGACAAAATGTTCTCTGTTAAATCCTGTTATAATATTTTCTTCCATGACCGATGGAGATGGTCATTCCTCAATATTGTGCAAATTTGGAAGTGGCCAATTCCCCATAAAATCCAAGTCTTCATTTGGATAGTTTCGCAGGATAAAATTTTAAACATTGATAATCTGCAAAAAAAAAGGGTAAGATTCTACCTAATGTCTATTTGTTATGCAAACTAGATGGTGAATCACTTGACCATCTACTGATTCATTGTCCCTATACTTTGAGGATTTGGCATTGGTTAATTGGGGAAATAGAAGTTTCGTTAGTGTTCAGAGGGTGGTTGGGATGGTCTCGCAATTTGGGGTACTATTTCTTCCCAAGATTGGAAGTACGATTTGGAAGATAGCAAAATGAGTGATATTTTGGGAAGTATGGAAGGAGAGAAATAAAAGGACTTTTAAGGGTATGGCATTGCCTATTGATAAGCTGATACATTTAATCAAGCTCACTATTTTGCCTTGTCTTTCTATGTCCATGGATGGGTGGGGTATTACTAAGGTTGATGTTATGATAAATTTGTCTAACATTTTCTTTCTGGGTTTGAATTCTCGTAGGCCTAAGGGCTGGTGGTGTGCTCCGTCTATGGATTGTTTTAAGTTAAACTTTGATGGTAGCTCCATTGGAAATCCTGGCTCAACAGGTATTGGTGGTGTTGTAAGAGATTGCTTGGGAAGTGTTATATTTACATATACTAGCCCAATTGGTATTGCTACGACCAATTATG